CTATCTCCCGTGTTAGGGGGTAGGTGTAACAGGGTGAGCAATATTGAGGTGAGGCTTCGGTCGAGTGCTAGGTTGGTGGGAGGGGAAATCAATGGACGAGACTGTGTGGTTACATAGATTGAGATCGTTAGGACAAGTGTTACATATGCCTAGCCATCGCCTTCCTTGACGACTAATGCTAGCTGATAGAAGATGGATCAGGTTGGAAAAGGGCCAATGGTGGTCAAATGAAAACATGACACCATTCAAAGAAATCCATGTAGGTATGTGTCGACTGCCTGACTGGTTGAGGTCCTCGGAACTGTAATAACCAATGAAGGCTAGAAACAATTGGTGATATGGCTAAAAATCGTTCTCAATGGCTAGCGCAGGTGCATTCATCACTCCTTTTGATTTGTCATATCAAATAAAACTCTATTGTTCTACCACAATACTGTTGTTTTTCCCCGTACACTTTTGTTTATTATCTGTCCTTTGAGAATGTCTCTTTACTCTCTTCTCTTGCTTTGCTTGCTACATGGAGGGAAAATGGCAACTTGAACTGCTCTGCACACCTGTGCAAAGTTCCATGTTGAAACCAGTCTGTCAGTAAGTCAGTCTATTCTGTATTCATGACTTCATAATAAATTTGCTAAAAAACAGACTAGCAGTAAATAAACATTGTACACAAATTCAGTGGTATGTTAGCAGCAACATTGATCGATTTATTACTCTGTTGATTATTTATTCACATAATTCTTGTATACCAACCAATCTTTGTTTAATTTATTCAAAAATCTTGTTTTCTTTGTTGTGTACATTTAATAGATTAAAGTGCCACAGAATACTCGTCGAAATTTGTGTAGTTGTGTTGTCTAAGTGTTAGATTGTATAATTGCGAATATCACTTACTGATGGTACAGTGAATAGGTGTTTCCTTCGAGTTACTATTATTATTACTGATATAAAGCGTAGAAGGCTGAGTTAACTAGCTTTGCATACCTGTTACCAGGTTATAATCTCGTTGACTTAGACTCTATGCAGATGATATAGTCCTCCCGCCTAGGTGAAGATGCTGACAAAATGCAGAGTCTTCTGAACGCGTTGAGGGGCAGCGATCTTCGAATATTTGGCATGCGATTCACTCCCGTCAAATGTAAAATGATGCTACTTCACTGGACTGGACTACATCGACTCACTCCCAGTTTAAATATAGGCAGGAGTGAAGTGGTAGAGCGTGTTAACCACTTCACTTATTTGAAAAGTTGCATCAGCCCCAACGCCAATGGGTTGACGAAATCTCATCACGGATACAGAAGGCTAAATTCGCATATTCCAGTGTACGCCGTCTCTGGCGTAGGCGTAGACGTGATATCCAGCTGACTGTCGACTAAAGGGCGTGTGTACTGCTCAGCAGTCCGCTCTGTCCTCCTTTACGGCTGCGAGACCTGACCATTGAGAGTGAAAGACATGAAAGGTATTGCTAGCTATTTTTCATCATAGGTGCCTGTGTTCTATCTCGTGTGTATGTTGAGTGGTTTAATAGGGTGAGCAGTATTGAGGTTAGGCACCAGTCGAGTGCTAGGTAGGTGTGAAGGGAAATCAATCGACGAGGCTATGAAGTTGCATTGACTGAGATGGTAAGGACATGTGTTACATATGCCTAGTCATCGCCTTCCTCGACGGGCAATGTTAGCTGACATAGGGTCAGGCTGGAAAAGAGCTGGCGGTGGTCAAACCAAAACACGGCTTCATCAGTCAATGAAATCCACAACAGTTAGTTTAAGTCCTCCACGTAAGGAGGTGTAGACTGTTTGACTGGTTGGGATCGTTGGGACGGTGAAAACCAATGAAGGTTGGAGACAATTGGTGATATGACTCAAAATCGTTCTCAATTGTTGGCGCAGATGCATCCATCCCTTGTGACTTATAACACTCAGTTATTGCCATTGCTTTTATCTCATATCTGCGTTTACTGTCTCTGTTTTGCATTCTTTTTTACTTAATTCTCTTGTTTTGTGTGCTCAGTCAAGTGTGGTGACTCGAACTGCTACACATCTGTGCAAAGTTCTATGTTGAAACCAGTCTGTCAGTCAGTTTGTGATATGTTTCTCACTCAAGTCAATCTGTAGTATCACAACAAACATTGATGTATGATCACGATTATGTATGAGTCTGCCTTCACTTTCACCAGTTTTCTCCATTTAGGGTGTTAGATAAAATATTCCATCGTCTATTTAAGTTGGAGAACATATTCATTATTTGATCAGGTATCAACGATAATCGAGTCAAATAAATTAATTCTTAAGGAAGTCGATTTGATTTGGCGTTGCTAGCTCCTCATCACACCTTCCATCTTTCCTAGGTTTACTATTGGATAAACAAGATTTAGGAGTACATTGGCTCGGATTGCGATTCTGATCGCGTGTGTGGTTGGCGACCACCGAGGCTGACTGACTGGTTTCAACAGTTATCACTGTAAGCATCACATGAAGAGAAAAAAAAGAGGTTCCAAAGAATGAATATAAATATCTGTGTAAAACTTGGGCACTGTGGTAGTAAGTAATTTCATATTAGTTTGTTTATTAGATATATCACACAATCACTGAAAAAATATTATTTACTGGATGACAAGGTTTCGAACAAAATTGATTACTGTTCATAATCATTTCATCAATTATAATCACACGACTTCGAAACTTGAGTTTTATAGTTTTCTTTGATCTCTCCTATTTGTAGGGGTAGTAGAATTTTCCAGATGTCCGGACGGACAGGTGTTGAATCATACCTATTACATGTATTTGCAGTTAATTCGATAGACAAAGCTTCCCTTATCTATCTCTCCCTCCCCCCTGCTGCTACATTAGATTTTAAAACTGTCATCTTATCCCGTCCTGTTGTATGATTGTGTTTGATTGAATGTAGTTCTATCTACGGCTAAACTATTCTCTGAATTCTTTATCTTATTCAAACCCACAAACTCAATTTGAAACAAGCTCTGTCGCTTAAACGATCCATTGGAGCCTTTAAAACAAAACAATTTATTTTATCTAATACCCTACCTGCTATGATTGTCTGGTCAAATACAGAGATCAAAGTAGTAGAAGTGTGGCAGTCGGACTAGCCGAACATAAAAACCTAGCAAAATCTAGATTAGTTGACCCGAATAAGATAAGATAATATGGAAGAACGAATATAAGCAGGAACATGAGAGCGAAAGAACAATAACATGTAAGAACAATAGGGTTTAATGTATATGGCATTGAGAACGATTTTGAGCCATATCACCAATTGTCTCTAGCCGTCATTGGTTCCTACCATCCCAAGGGGCCCCAATAAGGAGGCTTACACTTCCCTGTCTGATTCAGAGCTACTGTCAGTGATTTCATAGACTGATCTCATGTTTTGATTTCACCAAGTTTTCCAAATCGATCCTATGTGCGTCGGTGGCACAGTGGTTAGGACTCTCGCCGACCATGCACATGGTCCGGAGTTCGATCCCCTGCCGACGCACACCCGATATCCATGGTCGGCCTGCAAAATTTGGGCTACCGATATCCATGCTGAAAATTCCATACTTGTACTGAAAATACGGTGTGGCATCAAGCTGTAATAAAATAAAATAAAAATTAAAAAATTAATTCAATTAATTAAAATTAACATTACCCGTCGAGGAAGGCGATGACTGGGCATGTGTCTTGTCCATCTCAATCTATATAGCTTCCTAACGTCATCGATTAACTCTCCCTCCTTACCTAGCCCTCTACTGCTAAACTCAATATTGCTCACCTATTATACCACTGGACATGAGAGATAGGACGCAGACAACTACGATCAAAGACAGTTTTCCTTTTCTTATCTTCCACTTTCAATAATAATAATAATTTGCTTTGTTCCAAAACAGTACTTGTGATACAGAATGGAATTCTCAGCATTTTTACTACAGTATTGCATCCAGTTGGTACATTATCAATAAATAGAATTCTACATAGATCAAGGAAATCTCAGTTCATTATTACAACAATACATTGGCATGTCAGTAGCAAAGGTAAAGCTGAAACAGTGTTTGAAGGTGTTAGAAAAGTGGGAGCTGTCTTATTAACTGGCGTAAGCGAGAGAAAGAGACAAAGCAGCACATAACGGAAAAAGAAGAGAGAGAAAAAGAAAAGAAAGAAAGAAAATGTTGTACCTAATAATGATGTGGGTTGGAAAGACGAGATTCAATGGCCATATCTCACTCAGAGCCATAAGTCGGCAAATGCTAAACGAGCCTTATGTATCTGTGCTGAGATTTCATCAGCGATCAACTCGTTGGCACTGGCTGATGCAACTTACCGAATAAGTGAAGTGGTCAACACACTTCACCAACCACTTCACTCCCTATCTCCAAGCTAGGAGTCAATGAAGTCTAGTTTTGTAGCAAAATCTTACATTTAACGAGAGCCAATTTTTTTTTATTACAGCTTGATTCCACACAGTAGTTTTTGGTGGAAGTATGGAATTTTCAGCATGTGATATCGGTAGCCCAAATTTTGCAGATCGACCATTGATATCAGGTGTGCGTCGGCACGGGATCGAACCCCGGACCATGTTCATGGTCGGCGAGAGTCCTAACCACTGTGCCACCGACGCCAAACATTCAAAGATTGTTGCTCAGGGTGTTCAGATGATTGGGACTATATCATCATCTGCATATTGTAAGTCAACGAGATTATCCCCTGATAACAAGTCAATCCTTGAGTTACTGAAGTCAGTTAGGGTTAAGTCCATTAGTGCATCTATGATGAAATTAAAGAGAAATGGGGACAGTTGGCATCCGTGACGAACACCACTGGTTTTCATCGTCAATTTTATATGACGACTCTCCGTAAGCTCTTACACGTCTGCATGATTTCGAGTAGGGTGCTGACGCACACAACCTTAAATTATTTTCGTCAAATTTTGTTACTGTTATTATGCAATCATTAAATATCTAACTTATTATGCAATGTTTTCCTTGTTTTATAAAAATCTACTTTTAGCAGAATCAGCTTTGTCCAAGAAGGAAATTGATTCGTTAATGGAAAAGTGAGTTGACTTTATTTTGTTGGTACCTACTTTTTTAAATAGGAAAACTGTTGAGATAAAAGTATAAAATTTGGGCACTGTGCTGGTAGAGTATAACTCTATTATAGATAAGATTTTATTTTGATAAATCACACAGTGTTATACAGTAATGTTTACTGATGACCTTATAAGGAAGGGACATCTGAGACCCTACGTAGGATTCTCAATAAAGCAGGAATTAGGACGGCATTCAAAACTACAAACTCACTCAGGTAGGACAAGCTGCGTAGGCTAAAGGACCCGGTGGACCCAATTAAACAAAATAATATAATTTACAAAATACCGTACAATGACTGTGAGCCAAGTCAACTATATAGGTTAAACTAGTAGGTTGAGGTTAGTCAGATTTTCGGAACGTAATAGAGAGGTTTCGTGTGCTCTTCGGGTTGTGAGGGCGATTGTTACTTCCCGGCTGCCCACACCGTGGAAGTTGGTTGCGTGACCGCAGAGCCCAGGGGACAACTGCTTGAGGCCGGTCACACACGGCCTGTTTTTGTTTGTTGTTTTTCATTTGGTGTGTCTCAGTAGCGTATTTATCACTTCTGCCCTGTGACACGGCAGCAGAAAGCGCGGTCGTTGTTAATCCGGGCCCCGACCGATCCGGCATGATATTTTGTGATTTGTTTGAAGTCATAGGATTGGGTTGGGTAACTGCTTTTAGTCTAACCGCTATCCGAACAACCTTACTGGCATGGTAGGACCTGCAGGAACATAAGTTCCAGCCAGTATAGCTTGTTGGGTCATTGCGGTGTTCAAGCCCGACCACCACGTCAAGGTAGCAGCTTTCGGTCGGGTTCGGAACGTAAGAATTTAGCTAAGGTAAGAATGGTTGACTGCAAGAAGATAAGTAATTTTAAAAAAGCTCAGCGATTTCACTGCACGCATTAGCACAACCTAACAATAGGGTGGGAAGGAGAGGGTTAAAATTCTTAGAAGTATTACAGGTATCTGGTTGGAGAGGGAGATTGATTACTGAATCCGGCGTAGCTCATTCAGTCTACACTCAACACAACACATGCAACAGAAATGACTCAGTGCAAATACAAGAGATATGCATAGAAGATATTATTACCAACAGTCAGTCCAATCAGAGAAGGATAATAAATCTTAAAATTCTATTTCAATTCAATTCACATACACATTATAACATTCTAACAAGTTACTTATTTATTTTGACTATAAAAACACTCGTCTTATTTCCCATCTGATTGTATTTGATCAATAACACTCATATTGTTATTTCTGAATGTACATTATCCTATATTGGTTGATTTCTATTCAAATGTCTAATCATCAATTCCACTCATGTATATAAATGAAGCAAGAAAGTTGAGTGAGTGACTTGATATGATTATGAGCAGTGATAGGTTGTGCTCGAAAAATGGTCATCAGTTAATATTACTGTATAACAAGCACTGTGTGACTTATCAAAATAAAATTTTATCTATAATGCAGTTAACACTGTTGAGAATTAGGAATCAGCTGGACAGGGTGAGAAATCTGTCATCAGCGCATATGAAACAAGTAGCACTTTCAATTTTGGTTTGCTTGAACTTTTACTTTTCAAACTTCTACTATAAAACAGTGTAACTAATTTAGTACTTCAAACCAAGAATTAAAAATTCAATTGGTAGGGAATGCAGGTACATCCAGATGACGAGTCCCAAACAGGACGAAATGCGCACCCTGGATTCCACTGCTTGTCACCATCCACCAATAGACTTCAAGTTACATGACCAGACATCGTCGAAGCATCTGCACAAAGAGCTGACATGTCAACCTGAAAGTGAGCAGCACACCGTCGGTCTAATCAACCGACGCGAAAATCTTAACTGAATTAAACAAGAATTGGCGTGTTGATGGTCACTGACAGTAGGATCGAGGATGTACATTTGGTCCTGTTTGTGGAAATAACACTGACCTTTAATATTAACTTTGTTGCATGTTAATATGAAATAATCAACTATAACAAACCTGACTACATTATTCACAGAGAACTGTGTGATGCTCTAAAGCACACTTATTGTCGATTATTCTACATCATAAATTGGCAGGATAATATTAATAATAATAATGATTTACTTTATTCCAAAAACAGTATTTGTGATACAGAATGGAATTTTCAGCATTAATCACAATATCTTGCATCTAATTCCCTCAAATTATAAATAAAAATTAATCGCACAGAAAATTTTTCCACATTTACAATAGGGGTTATGTCAAAAACATGCAACATATAGAATGGAAATAATAATAATGATATCAGCTAAGGTAATAATAATAATAATAATACAAGTGAAAATTGCTGTGGGCTTGTTTCACACAGTATTGTCGATGCGGTATAGAAATCCTAGCATGATTAAAAATATTGAATATAATGTTCTCTTTACATGATATAATGAGGGGGGAAAAACAAAGATCACAGCAGTCATAGAGATGAGTTAGTGTTTGCAATTATGAAAGTAAAACAAAGAAGCAACAGGACCATAAATATAACAGAAATAATAAAAGTAAAACTTGAAGGTATATAAGGATGGATGGATGAGATTGTTTATTTACTAGATGAAAAAAGGTTAGTCAATTCTTGCCTGACACTATTTTCATCACATAAAATACGTGCCAGGTATGGTATCATAGAATTTTTATACTAAGACGTGCGAGCATACAGTTTTCTGAAGTTACTTCTTGTTCTACCTAAAGGGAAGGAGCAAGCTGAAACCTGAGGGTAAAGCGGATGCTCCAAGTCAGACAAAATCCCTTTAGCAAATTTATTGCACGATGTCAAGTGCCTATGGACAACGACGTTAACTATGTAGTCCACTGGGACACCATTCACCCTACTGACAGTCTTCAGCATTCTACGAATTGTAACATAGTCCTTTCTAAGCAAACTAGGAAAGAATAAGGGTGAACAATAAAGAAGAACAGGTAGGATGCAAGAGTTTATGAACTGTAAGAGGAGGGGTTAAGTTATACCCGAGTGCCTTAACTTCTTAATGTAAAATGTCAGGCGGAATGTTTTACTGGAGATCGCCGAGACATGGGAAGACCAGGAGAGATGAGAAGAGAGAATAAGTCCAAGATACTTAATTTCTGATTTAATTCCAATATCATTGTCCTCAATCTTACAACTGTCATGAGAATCGACGGGTTCTTTTAACTGTCGTTTACATCTTAAGCTGAAATTAACAGTTCGACATTTAGAAGGATTCAGTTTAAAACCGTTGAACTCAAACCATTTACTGACTCCCAACAGAAAGCTATTTATTTTGGTACAATCTAGCTGGGAGTTAACAGCCATTGAAACTGTTAAATCACCAGCGTACTTCACAAAGTTTATTTCATCAGAGTGAGGCAAGTCGTGTAAGGAGAAAGAAAAGGAGAAAGGACAGCGCCTTGAGGGACACCATCTTGAGTAGGCAATGAAGTTCAATGTAACCAGTTAACAGCTTAACATTCTGTTTGACTAGCAGCAAGTTTATTTAGTAAGATCTAAGTTATAGGCGGCGCTGTTTGATCCTTATCCACTAGCTTTTTCTGTAACACACATGTCGTCATCTTTCTCGTGGGATCATTAGTGTGTGCGTGTTCTGTTGAATAAATTTCAATTTTTCAGAAAAGTAAAATGCCATACTTTAATTACCGCACTTTTCATTTCAATAGGTTGATTAGCGCTGAAGATGTTAGTTCAAGTCTTCGAAGTGAATTGAATTCAAAAGTTAAAGAAATCAAAGAGCTACAGACTGCTGTGATTGAATTAGGCCGAGAAAATCAAACCCTTCAGGTAAGTTGTGTAGAGTTAAGACATTTTGACATCATTTTACAGGTGTTACGAGAGCGCTTAACAAATCGTCAATGGACTAAAGATGATGAAGCTATGACGTGTTTTGGTTGCGATCGAGAATTCTCTATCAGCACAAGAAGGGTATGATAAGTATTGCATAGTGTAATTTTGCTTTTTTTTATTATAAAGATTGTGTATGTATTTGAATTTATTCAGATTCCGAATTCACTTGAAGTGAAAGTTACGCATGGTCTTATTATTATTGTTATTATTATTATTATTGTTTCCTTAAATTCCTAGAGGAACTTAGGCCTTCAGATGCACGTCTCTATTGTGTTCGGTTCTGTGCCAACGTTTTCATCAACTGGCTCCACGTCCGCCTATATTCTTTTATCTCCTCTTTGCATGACCTCGTCTATGTCACCATCGCACTGACGATCAACTAACTCGCCGCTTCACATTCGGGTTCCAGTCGAGCGATGGCCTGGCGTGTGATGTCACTCACCCGGTGGTTTGTTTCCTCAGAGTATGGCCAATCCACCTCTATTTCTTTCTGCATATTTCTTGCACAACTGGTTCCTGGTGGGTTGGTTCGTTCAGTGTCAGAAATCCCTGTTGGTGGTCTTTCCTGACCGGTCATTTGATCTGAGTGGTATTGAGCGAAGACAGGTGTTGATGAAGGTCTGACTTCACATTGGAGTTGAAAATCCGCATCTTATTTTTCATGCTGAGTGCTATTGATCTCCATGCAAGATTTAGAATGTGTGTCTTGACATTATCGTATATTAAAATGAATTGTTTTATGATGACAGTTCCTGACCGATATCTGTTATTATTGACTTAGTGGGCTGGCTTGAATATTAAATTAACTCAAAGGAATTGCCCTGGCTGGAATAAGTGTTCTTGCAAGTCCTACAACACCAGAAGGGTCGTTTGGATAGAGGTTCGACTAAAATTAGCTATCATCATCATAGTATCAGTCGTTGACCCTCTGATATGGGGTTTGATGGCGATATCTGACTGCTGGTGTTTTGCAGCTGTGGGGAGGAGGGTTGGAAAAATTGCCCAGCCCTTAAGTGGTACACTCCGACTTACCTTGCAGCTATCCGTAGCCAGCGCTTCACTCTTGATTCTGACTCTCTTATTCCAAACTGACTGTGTCTGATCGGTCCTTAAGCAGCTGTCCCGTCAATTCTGCAAACCCTAAACACTGGTGCTTTTTCTGTCGTAGTTATTTTAAGAAGAAATCAACTTCCACGATGCAGTCAGTTCTCTAAGAGGTAACAACTTCTTTGAGCAAGCACACAAGGTTCCCCTGATCATTACCAACTTCATGATGAGAGTTAGCTTCTCGAAAACGATGGTACATTTATTTAATTGAGTTTTAGATCTTCCCGTCGACTGATTGGACCGCAGTGCTCGGTTTCGGGTTGACATGTCGGCTTCTTGTGCAGATGCTTCGGCGATGTCTGGGTATGTAATTATAAGATAATTGGTGAATGGTGGCTAGCAGTGGAATCCAGGATAACATGCATTTCGTCTCATTCGGGACTTTTCAACTGAATATACCTACATTCCGCAGTGAGTGATGATGTTCAATTAAATAATCAACATGAACCGTTGCACAAGAGGTGGCTCTCGTGACCAAAGTGGTCTAGTGGATAACGCTTTGGCTGGCGTTTGAAACTATGGGCAGTGGGTTCGAGCCTCGGTGGGAAAATCATCACTCACTGTGGGATGCAGGTACATCCAGTGACGAGTCCCAAACAGGGCTAAGTGCGCGTTATCCTGGATTCCACTGCTAGTCACCGTCCACCGATTATCTTCTGATGTTACATTTAGTTTCACAGTGTTCTGAGGAATATCACTACCAATGATCTAAAAGTTATATGACAAAATTTTCATTTTCATTATAATAGTCAGTTAAAAAGAGGGAGATTCTCGGAGAGATTTGATATCACTTCCTCATAAACACCGGAAATTTTAGGTATATGGATGACAATAGTTATCTACTATAATTTAGTCCTTATATGGAACATTTTGTTCATTACTATTGCATGTCATTCATTCCAGTACTCTACTTACATTCACTGGATTATAGGCCCGTATCCCCCGTGACTTTCCTTTTTTTTCAGAAATCGGCTGTTATTATTGTTATAAACGTAGAGTGTGATATTTTAAGTTGCTCAGAAATCTATGCTTAAGGTTTATAATATTACTATTACCTTGGGTTCTGAGTGGAACTTGTGACTTCAACGGCATGTCTCCATTTCGCCCTGTTCTCCGTAGTCCTCTTCAACTGATCTCATGATTCCCCATAAGATTTTATCTTATCCTCACACAAACTCCTCCATGTCGCCCTCGGATCCACTAGACCACTTGCGCCTCGAGGGCCACCTCTTGTGCAACTGGAGAACGCAGGTACATCCAGCTGGTTGATGAGTCCCAAATGGGGCGAATTGCACTTCCTAGATTCCACTGCTAGTCATCATCCACCAATTAACCTCGGATTACATGCCCAGGCATTGTCGAAGCATGTGCACAAGAAGCCCGCGTGTCAACCTGAAACCGAGTACTTCGGTCCAATCAGTCGACGGGAAAATCTAAAAATTTAATTAAAATAACTTATTCATAGTTGATTCAATATGTTTCTGCAACTTAAATAAACTCAACTTCTATCCAGTATAAGATTGCTTTACTCCACTTTTTCTCTTGGTAATGTTGTTGTTGTTGTTGTTGTGGATTTCTTCTAAGAAATCCGGAGAGATAATCTAAGCGATTGGTTAAACCGTACGTAGAGTGACGCGTCAAATCCAAAGCCACAGGATATTTGTCTAGAACACGGTATTGTATTAAACACGAAATAATGAAATATACCATACGGACCTCAAATTGCGAGGTGCCTCTGGTTGAATACCGTCAAAATTACAGTTGGTATGCCTCAATAAGAAAAACTCGCCACTAAGACATTGGCTAGTAATCGCGCTATGTCATGAATTGGCAGAAGTTGGAATTCATGCATTGGCCATTAATTCGCGCTGTAGTGACTTAATAGTCTACATGATGGCCCACCCTGGAGGTGGGTGAATACTGATGAAGAGTCCCAAAGTAGGCTGATGAAACAGCTGTCCAGTCCTCCCAGCTGCTTTTCTAATGGTCCTCTAACCGATGTCAGCTCATCATGTAACCAATCAATCGAACCAATACTTGAGAAACAGCAAAGCTGTGTCAAAGGTGGTCCACGTCTAGAGTTGAACAGCGCGCGAATGCCAGACACAGAACAAAGTGACATGAGTAAACAATGTTCAATAGTGAATGGTATGTAAATAAGGCATATACAGCAGATAGTTTCCAACTATACGTCAAATAGAATATTAGTGCATTAAGTCAGTTAAACTTCACTGGCAAACAAAGTCATGGTTAAGTAAGTAGTGACAAATATATTGTATACTGTAACGGTAGAAGACAAGATATTTGGTAAGGGAATATTTATTTGAAATTTGGTATTGGTATAAAGCGACACTATGTACACCTTATCTTCAACGCACCCTTCGCACTGATCTCACGTGTTGTGCTACTCCTGGCCTTCCTTCATATTGTGTTCCTTTCACGTCTCCCATGTATCTTCACAACTCTGTATCATTTGCTTTCTCTGACATTAAATCTATCTCCCTGCTATTTTTTGTTTTATTGCAATGAATATCTCCTTATACGCTACTGATAAATATTATCAGTAGCACACGCCACACTCGTCCCCTTTTCAAACAGTTTCGAATGGAGCCGCCCCTACTTTCTTGGTGTTACTCCTTCCTGTTGTACCTTGGTCCCGGCTTCCGTATCCCACTGGATCCATTTGTGCAGTTTGTTGATGTTAACCCGTTTTTGCTTATTTCCTTTTTTGATGGTATACACTGGACCACGTCTCTCGGTGATAGTGTATAGCTCTTCCCACTTTTGGAGGATTTTCCGTGAACCTGACCCACAGCTGACCGCCTACTTTCTTTCTCTACATTTTACTTGATCGCCGACCTCAAAGGTAATGCATCGCATCTTTTCTCCCTGTTCTGATTTCATGGCGTCTTTTTTCCTTTCTGACTGCGTTTTGCTGTTGTGTTGAGCAGCCTCTTTTTTTTTGATTTAAAGCTTGATTCCACACCGTATTTTCAGTACAAGTATGGAATTTTCAGCATGGATATCGGTTGCCCAAATTCAGGCATACCATAGATATCGGGTGTGCGCCGGCAGGGGATCGAACCCCGGACCATGTGCATGGTCGGCGAGAGTCCTAACCACTGTGCCACCGACGCACGTTCCTGGTGGAAGGACCAGGTTGTGCTGTGTATTGATAGTCGTGGTTTCTTCTCATACATCAACTGAAATGGCGACTTCTTTGTTGTTTCCTGGGTGGATGCATGATGTGGTAGCAGAACCAAATGAGGCTCTGCCTCCCAGGTGCCAGCAGAACACGCCACAATACTACTACTTACTAGTGGTAAGTAATTGGAAGTTGAACAGAGAGGAATAAGAAAGGATAGATAGGAAAAAGGAAAAAACAGTTGCATGTTTCCCTTCAGTCAAGGTTGCTTGCTTTCTTTTGGAGAATGTAAAAAAGTGGGGCGCTCTGATCCTTGTGTACTTTCTGGGCTTCGTGGTTCAACTGCTAAGTTACATGAGCGTGTTATTTGTGTAAACACTTTTTTCTCATTATTTTTTGACATCTACGTATGACACACAAACTCACGTTTCTAATCTTTTTTTTGCCTTTCAGCATCATTGCAGGAACTGTGGTGGCATATTCTGTCAGACCTGTTCATCTAATCGTGCGGCTACAACATTTAGTAAAGATCCAGTTCGTGTATGTCAGGCTTGTTATAAAGAGTTGACTGGTAATTTGTGATATAGTAAAACTAACCAGTGTCTAGTCTAGTCTTTCTAATTTCATCAGCTGAGAATTTAGCTTCTGTGTAAATAAAGTAATGTGTTGTTATTACTTTTGCACAAAATGCATTTCACTCTCTCTCTCCCTCTCTCTATTTTCACTTTGCCAATCATGTGTTCTGTCCGTGATGCTGCAATTAGGAATTTGATTTTATCCTCAATTATGAACAATATTAATTTATAGCATGCTTTATTAAACTGACAATGTTTTCAACACGAAGTCAAATGCGTCTACTTTTAATAATTTCATTTATCACATGTATACCCTATAATCATTTAAACAAAATTAGCTACTTTTATCGCACAAGAGAGATATATAGCTTAATCATACATATTGAGTACTTTAACAGCATTATGCTTTCTTTTAAAAGCCTTCTTTCTGATGATCTCGTTTTCTTCTTTGTTTTTTTATCAAGTATGTGATTCTTTCTTTGCGTTTATTAAACTAATAATAAAGCCTTTAATTCCCGATCATTGTGTTTATTGATCTCGTTGAATAATGCTGAAGTGAAGATCTGCTCGCTCTGCAGGTCGACGTTCACGGATAGTACGATGTTATACTAACGCAAGATCTTGTTGTGGGAGGGGTGAGCTGTAACGGTAGGTAATTCCCCATAATTATTAACCACAGCTTTCATCACTGAACACTGCATACTGAACCTCACTGCTTAAGTCGACTTGTTTATGTGAAGGCTCATATTCAAGCACCCACGCCATCGTGCTATTTTTGTTCATTCATGCACAATCCGTAGCTAGTCAGGCAATAAACCTCGCACTGCGATTTAGTTCCGAAATATACTTCGTAATGGGACGATCAATTCCAGTGTTTTGCTTCGATTTTGGTCTACGCGGAACGAATACTATAGAAGTTGTGGGTATTAGATCTTGCGTTAGTATCCTTCGTACTACCAGTGAACATCAACACTCTCAGTCTCCAAAGTCTGCTATCGCTTTGCTAATTTGAATGTAGTGCATTGGTGCACAATGGAAAAATTTGATAAATAATTTCATTAATAGATGAGGCTTTAGTGCACATTCCGATGTTAAAGGCGTTGTTTTCGTCTGAAATTATACGAACTTGCTGCGCCGCCATTTTATGCCTTTCTGTTGCGCTTTCAATAAGCGCATCCCTTGAGTTTTAAATAGGGCCATATTGGTTAGGTGAGTTTTAGACCTTTTCCTGAATAATCTTTGCCTTTCGTTCTACTCAAATATATGGCGCACATAGGCACTTCTCAATAACCACGTCCTTTTAATTCGAGCTATGTCGTCAGTGCTTACAGGTTAGGCAGAGTACTGGATTATTGCGTGCATAAGTAAACTACGTTAAGTAAAGACTTGAAAAGTGTGGCTTATCAACAGCACCGACAGTACCTTACACGGAATGGATATTTTATGGTCATCTTGCCGTCAACTCATTCCCTTGACTGTAAATGGTGTTCTGGAAGCACTCTGCTGCTTTGACTCTGGAATTTTCAGTCAATCGTTTTTTGCTCCTCATGACTGTCCACATCGAGGCTAGTGATTATTAAAACTTCTATATAAGGCTCCAGCAGCTGTAACTTGAGTTATAAGTCACCTATGAAACTTGAAAGATTTGTGCTAAATAGGGCGAGTGTTGCTCATATCAAATTTCAAGTTCAGAGTATGCCTGTAAGGACGAAGACTGAAGGTCGAGGACTGTATTTACAATCAATCTTATTAAAGTTAGTTGGGGGGAATGGTTTTCTTAGTAGTCACTATATCGTTTCGGGCGACTAATCCTAGATCGCTACGTATCCAACCTGAAGTTAGAGAAGCATACAGTTTAAACATGGGAAAACCGTCTAACTTACCACCCCTTACACTACCTTTTCTCCCATAGGAGCACTGCACGCAGTGCTAGATGGCTGTTACTGCAGGGTTTGTCTGAACTAAGGTTTATCGCTGAAAAGGTTTTGGTCTATTCAAATGTGTGACTAAACTTTCAGCGGGACTCGGTTCCTGGATCCTACAGGCACTGTCACTAAACGCTACCACTGCCGTAAATGGTCCTTCACAGCGTTTATGGAATTTATCAGCCTTCCCTTTAGGTGGTGCCTCCTTTAGTAGTTTAGAGGATGCAGGTATCGACGTTCGCGAGTTGTACGGATTATACTAACGCAAGATCTTATACCAACAACTTTTATAGTGTTCGCACTTCGAGTACCAAAGATAAAGCAAAAGACCAGATTTTGTCGTCCAAAGTACGTAGTATATTTCGGGACAAAATGGCGGGTAGAGGTGAATGCTTAGCTAGCTAGTAATCGTGCACGCACGTGACACGACGGAGTACCAAATGGCGGGGATGCTTGACCGGAAGCCTTCAGCTAAACAAGTCGACTTAAACAGTGAGGGTCAGCATCCAATGTTGAGTGATGATTGCTGTGGTTAATAATTTTGGGGAATTATTTACCGCTACAGTAGCATTACCTTGTCTCCTGGCTTTACAGGTGATCCATGTGCTTTCTTATCATAGTATTTCTGCTGGTACCTCCTATTTGTTGGAAGTATATCCCTAGTCATTTAGTGTACCTTGTTCAGGTTTCGTTTTATTCTGATTACGTGTTCTGAAGCTGTGTGTTCTCTCCTAGTGTGTTTGAAGTCAGATCAACTGGCAACCGCAGTTCTCTCATTAATATAATGAGGCGTTTGACGCGTAGCTTTGTGAATGCCTGCTCTGTACGCCATTAAGCACTGAGAGAGAGATCGGTCCTAGGTTGTTTTGGTCTGCAAATACCCGCAGAAGTGATTTAAATGTTCGAATGGTGTGTTCAACCAATCTATTTACTTGTGGAAGGTAAACAGTATTGCGTGTTTTCCGGATGCCAATATGAGACAGAGTTCGCTGAAAACAGTACTTTCAATGTTGGATCCTAGATCTGAGTGTGGCTAGAGTCGTGCCCCCTAGCGGCTGACCCAGTTGTCAGAAATTGATTCTGCGATGGTACAGCATCAATTCGGGGAATCGTGATAGCCTCGCACCATTTATTGAAATGGTCTACTATTACTAATATGCAGTTATTTTTTCGAGAGGTTACTCGGAGAGGCCCAACTAAGTCTATTTGCACTAGGTCATTTGGATGGCCAGTAATAATGGGCTCTAAGGGTGCCTTAGTATATTTGTGCGGAGCCTTAATAGTTTGTCATATCTTGCAGGAGTCACAGAAGTTTACGATATCCTTTCTCTGATGAGGCCACTAGTAACGTCTTTTAGCCGCTTCTGTCATCTTATTTGAGCCTGTTTAGCCTAACTGCTGGTGTAATGACAATAGTACTGTGGGTAGTGCCGACTGTGGAGCCACAACTCGGCGAGTATAAGTTGGCCAATGTTGGTGGCGAAGAGTGTCATTGAGAGTTCTCAAATTGTCCCACAGAGATCACAAACACCGAGTTTCCCACCCAAGCTTACTTATTTCCTGAGCTGTTGGTCGTTCGCGTCCACCTCGAATACATGCGTGAGTCGTAGCCATTCCAGGTTCTGAAGACTGAAGATCGGGCTATTTATGTGAATAATGTGCCTCTAGTCGGAGTAGGGAAACTTGTTCTTCAGAGCATGATGGGCAGTAACCAGGATACCTAAGAGGTTTTCCTGACAGTGAGTCTGCATTTTTATGACTTTTTCCAGGTCTATGCTTGCATTCGAAGTCATACGCCTCCAGGTGTTCTTGGCATCTAACATTCTGACTCTCAGCTTCTTTGAAAGTATGTAACCAGCTAAAGGCTTTGTTTTCAGCCAGTACTACGAAATGTCTATCAAGGATATATGCCCCAAAGTGCTTGATGGAAATGACCAGTTTTTAATGGAATTGTGTTCTCTGAGCTGGGTAGTTTAACTGCGAAGCTTTCATTGTCCTACTAGGCATCGTCTTCAGCGCATGCTATCCAGTTCAGAGAACACAGCTACATCAAGATCATCCACCTGAGCTACATATCTTTCCATCATATTGGAATTGACCAGTGCCAGCATCTCCTTCCTCATGGTGGGGTAATTCTTCTCACTCTTGTTGAGTGACCGACTTGCATAGGCTACCACCTCTTCCGCTCTATCTACATCCTTTTGAGACAGAACAGCCCCGATACCAGTGTCTCTAGCATCTGTATTTAGGAGGAAAGTACCTGACTGATCAGAAACGTTGGTATATGCCAGGAAAGAGGAGTTACATAAACTGTCTTTAAGTCTTTTGAAGGCTTCAGTAGCTGATGCTGTTCAACTGTAATCCTGCTTCTTAAGAATTCAAATAAAGTGGCTGCAAGTAGAGAAAAGTTAAGTAAAAAACGTCTATAGTACTAGGCTAACCCTAAAACACCATGTAACTCAGGAGCTGAGTTTAAAAGCGACCAGTCTTTAACTTCCTTAACTTTTGATGAATCACATTTAATGCCTTTGGCTGGAACAATGTGACCAATAAAACACTCATATTTCCTGAAAAATTGCATTTTGTTGGGTTCAGTTTTAACCCAACCATTTGCATTCCTTCTAGTGCTTTGGAAATATCACTTGAATGTTCAGTCATTATCTCACTATGTATTATAACATCGTCTAGATATATCAAGCAATAACCTGGTATGCGATCACTCAGGACCATTTGCATGTGGCGTTGAAGTATCTCTGGCGCATTAAGTAGCCCTAAAGTCTTTGTTTCAAACTCATGCAGGCCAGATTGCACAATAAGTGCCTTTTTTGCCTGTCCTCTCTGTGTACTTCCACTTGCCAATACCCGATGCTAAATCTAGGGTAGTAAATCAATTCGATACATCCAGAGCATCAAAAGTGTCGGCTATACGTGGCAGGGGAAAACAGTCTCCTCTAATAAACTGGTTCAACTTGCGATAGCCTACACATAACCGAAGTGTTCCATTCGATCTCTTAACTAAAACTACTTGGGCAGCCCGTGGAGATAGCGAGGGTTTGATAACATTCTTCTCCAAGAGTTCAGCAACTAACTTATCCCTGTTCTTCTGATAACGTGCAGGTACTCACCATGAAGGTTGTCTAGAAGGTGAGGTGTTACCCGTATCTTTGTGGTTTTGGATCAGTGCATACCGTTCACTGGTCTCAAAGAATTCGCCCGCATCAATTTCAGTGACATAATAAACCACCAAAACCATAAAAAGTACGAACTTGGCGTTTCTATACACACACAACATCCATAGCGGTCATAGTCTTTCGCTTTGCACGCTCCGTGTAGGTAACGGCGTCACGAATAACATTCTCCAAGAACAACTTGTGAACGTCACGTGTCTCTCGGTTAATCAAACCGGCTATGCGTTTCCCATTACCATGACTCGTGAGACTGCGGATAGCTGGCTTAGTGATGCCTTGGATGTTGTCACGGAGAACCTTGTGACGTCTACTGGCTCCTCCTTTGCCCAACCCCCCACCACCCTTACTGAGACCAGACATGATTCACTACAACAACAAGTTGAGGACCGACACGACTTCATCAACTTTGGAAAACCCTCTTGCTGTGTTAACCGTGAAGCAATCTGGAAATTACCTCATCAGTGCAGTACTCCAACTATTTAACGGGTTCATTCAGTAGCTACACGAAGATGCAACATGCCAATTGATGCACAATAGAAAACTTAGTGGAGCCTTTGAATTGAATACAGAAATCTGCTTTTACCGATGATAATCCCGACTGTAATGGACTGCATTGTGCAGTAGACTGTGTTTGGGGAGCAGGAAGACAGTAATGGGTCAGACCGATAAGATTCTAGAAGGTATGGGCTTCAAGGAAGCTATGTGTCTAATTTCACAAACAGCAGAAGGCTTAAAGTGACAGATGTCAAAGACAGGATTTCAAGTGAACATAGAGAAGACAGAGGAAATGAAGATAAACGAACAACAACAGTCATCACCCCTGCTATCAATGAGGTAAATCTGAAAGGGGTCGCCTGCCTCATTTACCCAGGCATCATCATTTCAACTACAGGCGGAACAGATAAGGATGTGGGAGCCAGGATCAGAAAGGCAAGACTGATATTCGTCGGTTTAGAAATCTGCACTGTGCAAATAGAACAAAATTTGAACTTCCGGTACCAGCGCCAATTCAGCCGTTTCTTCTATTTGGGCCACAACTTTTGTGCGTCATGAAAAGCATTTCCAGCAGACTGCTCAAGACTTTCATCAACTGTTGCTCCCACCGGATTCATACTGATGAGTAAATAGCCAGCCTGGAATAATTAGCAACATGTAACTCTTCGAAACCACTGTCCAAGAATCTATTATTCGGTGAATATGTAGGGGAAAATGGAGATGCATGGGGCATGCGGTGAGGGACCGTTGGATGACATCGCGCGGTAGGCCAGTGCCCTGGTGAAACCTGAGCGGGAAACAAAGAGTTCAGCATTGGTCGAGGGGTGACGTGGAGCAGATTTTATGAGTACGTGATGAGAGCATGCGAACAATTGTCGTTGGATCTGCAGTGGACAGCAGAGACTGAGATAAAATGTACATGTGTTGCTGAAGCCCTCTTCCGCTTGAAGATCAAGGGAAAAATAATGATAATCTAATAACATGAAACTGTTGCTTATGACCAGCTTTCCGTTTCCATGTAGAATACAGAGTGCAGTTTGAAAAATGAAACCTGTTGTACTATGGTGGACGCATAAATTTGACTGCTGTGGCATTCTAACACTGTCGTGACTCTTGCGTTCAATGATTACCGAAAGACCTTTCAAACACAGAACTACATATTATGCTGTAAATAAATGTGATGCCTACCGCAACACAGAAACTCCCGGAAGACGAATATTTAACACTCAGTGGAATCAAGTATCTGTCTAGACGAGAAACGTGAAGTGAATCATGCATGGTATCAGCATGTCCAGTTCGCCTAGGGAAAACTGCAAGTCAAAGGTTGCTGGTCAACCTTATAGGTTTCCGAGAAAGCCGCTTGGATGCTGACATTCTCATGGTGACGTATTATGAGAACAGGTCTCTACAACAAGTATGAATACCGATGTATGAGTATCTCAGATGGTTAAATGGACAATTCCTCCTAATAAATCTCCATAGACAAAGAACGAGTAACCAGTATTCGAATGCAAGAATACCAAGACCAGCAGATGTGACCTCTGTTACGGGCTTATCATTTCCTACGATGTGCTTGAGTCAAGTCAGGTAGACACGAAGGCCAGTTTGAATACCATTTCAAAGTTGAAGGGTAGTATAAGACTGAGGGAGACATTATACTAAGTAGTGACCTTATTCTCAGGTATTACGGACTTAACCATACTTGAAAAATTTCGCATAAGACAGTTCAGAATACTGGGACAGGGGGAAACGGCATCGTAATAGTAAAACTAATCTTGTCCTTAAGTGTTATCACGGAGCAAGGGTTCAGAGCTTAATATTACTGAAATCTTTGTAGATGAAGCTTTAGGGTGGCAGAGTTAACCTATAATATGTTTAGCAAACGCCGAGAGCTCACTGGACAAGTGAACCCAATCGAGTAATCCACATAGGTTTCACAGTTGTTATGCAGTATGTAGTGTAGAAGTGGTTGCACTTGACAGTACGTCACGTGAAGTTATATGCTGCATACTGAAATCCAAAGGATAACGTTGATTTAATTGTCAGTTGCCCTGACTACACAGTATATGACTTTCTGATAGAGAAACTGGGCGAAACTGCACGAAACGTTGGTTCTTAGCGCTCGACAAGTACGAAGCAATTACCTAGGCTCAAGTCTGAAGTGCTGAAAAACATACAGAGAACGACCCGAAAGGCTCCTTAAAAACTCGAACCATTTTATGATGGAGTTTCCTAGTACCTACTTAACTAGAGTATGAAAAAGTAACCCATGTAGTTCACTTTGTACGGCCTAATCTAGTCACCATTCCAAAGATAAATATTTTAGATGCAGCTTACGGGAATCTTCCCAGATGTATTATTCTGGTGGACGTAATATAAGTTTCTGTTTGTACGCAGTCTGGGTGAACGTAGTTTACTTAAACTCCTGAAATAAAGAGTATAAATAGAAAGCTGGTTCTGAGCTGCAGTCCTTCTGCCTAAGTCGAAAAGCGAAATGACACAGCTAAGTCAGGTCTTCAGGAATACTCATGCGCGAACCCGTAAATTTTCACCTCACGATATTCGCGAAGCAAATATATAAAGGTAGTTGGACTGTTGATATTTCTTAGTGAATGCTGGTGGTCGACCTTGACAGCAGGCGACAATATGAAAGCTGGCCGAGCGCCTAGGTCACGTGTTAAAGTAAAGAAACATGATAAAAAACGACTATCTGAAGAAGAAATAGAATCCGAAAGTGACGTTGATTCGTACGACAAATTCTTCCCTTGAATTAATTGCGTTAACTAAATATTACTTTTAGTGTTGTATCTGGATCGGATTCTGATGAGTCAGTGCACGAGACCGCTCATGAGAAGAAAGTCCGACTCACAAAAAAGGCCATACAGAAAACCCTAGAAACAGGTATTACGATTTTTTTCTGATCTTTGTAGTTGGTTCGGATGATGAGAAGTACGAAGCCTTATCTCTGCGTCTCAAGGAAGAAGCACTGCAAACCAAAGGAAAATTGCTAGCCAGATTTGCTCATCAGGTTAGTACAACATTAGGAAACTAAAAGTATAGATAAACGACTTGGAAAGTTCGGAGTTAATACTTTTAAAGGGACATAGAAAGTCCGTTTCATGTGTATGCGTTTCTGAAGATGGAAAGTTTGCCTATTCTGGAGGAAGAGATTCTTCAGTAATCAAATGTAAGTTTTTTATACATCTGATCACAGCCTCTAGGGGATCTAAGCACCTTGAAAAAATTATGTGTCATGCCCGGAGGAAAGCGTGGCACATTCGCGGCAAATTCATGCGGTACGTCCAACGTTTGCGTTACATTTTTGCGTGATTCGTTACATAAAATTTATCTTGTTGTAATCCTTGCACAAGTACTCTACTACTTCCATACCTATAACTATTAACTCTCATATCAAATAGTTATAGTTAACCGAAGTAAAAAGCAGCGAACTCAATCCCCTGCAAAACTGATGACTAATTTTAAGTCGTTGATTGCTACATCAAGCAACACACTTCCTACAAATGGTTATAGTGAGCCACAAAACTCACTTGTATGTCGTAAGCGTCGAGCTGAAACCGAGGATAAAACTGTACTGACAGCTGGTATTAGCACTACTCCCAAAAATTCAGTACCCTCTGCTCATGCAGAAACCCTCCCTACACCTTATGTGCTTATCGAAAAGCTCCAGCCTTCAAGCTCTGTTTCAGTACTATCTTCAGAAATAGAACTTCTAAAGTTGTCTATAGGAGAACTTAAGGCCGAGTTAAGGGAAATAAAAAACAATAAGTCAGTAGATCCTGGAATTTCTGATACCAATACCAAAATATCCAAATTATCAGATCAGATCAGTGATATCAGATCGCGGGTCTGTGAACTGACACCTTTAACTATACTCATGAAAACTGTAGACCTTAACAAACTCGACAATGAATCGATATCTAAGGTAGATAACCTAATTAACTTTGTTACTACAGAAGTAACAAAACGACTCGATGCTAAACTAAATGCTATTGTCTACAACGTTCCGGACAATGAGGCACTAAAAGGGTACAGCGCATCTTACTTAGTGAGGCGAAAATGCCTAACTCCAAGACTAAGTGCTACAGGCTGAAGAAGAGTCAACATGAAAAGTGTTGTCCTATTCGTTTTCAGTTCGAAACACCGGCAGAGGCCAGAAAATTTACCCACTCCCAACACACCCTATCGCAAGTCAGAAATTAGAAACTAATAAAGGTTGCAGTGGACAAGACAGTCATAGAAAGGCGCGTATATAATCATCTCACTGAGTCTAATTGTGGAATAAACAATAGGACATTGCAAGCAGCAATTATACCCAACCCTATGAGAGATACCGTAGAATCCACCGCACCACCCCTCTCAAACCACACAGAATTATCCTCTCAGAGAGCGACACCAACCGCATAGCTACTAAATTGTAATCAAATAGCCGATAAAACTATACAGCCTATCACCGTAGATATAGACATGTCAACAAATAATCCCAGAAAAAAGTCAAAATCCGCCGAAAGTCGGCCCTGTCCTCTCCTGTCCATAAGTCCATTGGTAAAAAAGCAGAATATGACCCCAAATCACGCCAACAACAACAATGGCAGTATAAATAAGCCCACATCTCCCACGGTCAATAGTATTGGCACCCAAGATGTGCGAAATAGCACCGTGGCCCACACTGATAACCAACGCCACAACAATGCCTCCCTCAATAGTACAAGTGGTAATAGTCAGAACTCGACCACCAACAACTCAGGGTATCCACAGTATGGCACACAAATAAATTTTGATCGGATATATGGTACAAGTCTGCTGGGAACTAACCCACAATGCAGTACACACGAAACCCATACAAGGACACAACTAGTACCTAACAATAGGTGGAATAATAAACCATGGTCTCCACAAGGTCCTAATCATTTTTTATCCCCTGCGTCCCTGTCAGCGTTGAAAAAACAGCTGGTAGGGATGTTAACACTCCTAAACCGTTAATGCTGGCTCCCCCTTTGCATGAATATAGGAACATTCTAGTTCACCCACATCCACTAAGCACACTTGATACATGCACAAGTTTAGGTCAAATAAAGATCCCTATCCATGTTTCTGGCTTAACTAAGAATATAAATGCCTTAGCCTATAGCAAATCCAGTACACCAACGCTTAATTCTTCGCCGAAAACAGCACACACCAACCCGATAGACATAGATGAGCGTGATGTCGAAACTCCTCTTAATTTTTAATTTATTTTTTTAATTTTTTATTTACAGCTTGATTCCACACCGTATTTTCAGTACAAGTATGGAATTTTCAGCATGGATATCGGTAGCCTAAATTCAGACCGACCATAGATATCGGGTGTGCGCCGGCAGGGGATCGAACCTTGGACCATGTGCATGGTCGGTGAGAGTCCTAACCACTGTGCCACCGACGCACAACATAGGGTCGTCATGCCAAACAGTACTACTTGGTGCTGAACCATACTCGGGGCTGATTAACGAACTTAAATACTTCAAATGCTACTTCAAATCTCATCTTTACCTAATACTCATAAATGCTAGATCTGTTCCAAATAAACTACTGATGCCCAGAGCACTCACAGTAACATACAAACCCCCTATAATCTTCATCACTGAATCTTGGTGTAATTCGAACATACTGGATGAAGAGATAAGCTTAGATAACTATACACACTTTCGGTGTGACAGGGAAGGTGGTAAGGGAGGAGGTTGTCTCATGTACTTTCTGAATGCACTTACTGTATCACGGCTAGAAAGTAGTACACTTAACATGCCTGAGACTTTATGGGTTAACTTACACTTAAATAACGCAATGGTATTAATTGGATGCACCTACAGAGCACCTGGTACCTTTAGTAATTACGAGACCCAACTTATTAATACTCTAGAACAATTATCCTCCCTACACTACGATCATAAGATCCTATGTGGAGACTTTAACTTACCAGAAATCAACTGGGATATACCCACAGGCCCAGATAAATTTGATAAGTTCTTAGGCACACTGGATATACTTGGCTGGAAACAGACTGTCACAACCCCAACAAGAGGTAATAACGTACTAGACTTAATCTTCTGCCACAATATAAGTCCCCTTTCTACCCTAGTAGGTTCTGAGTTTTCAGGGGGTGACCACAAAACAGTGCTGTGTGCACTGCTACTTCCGTCAAGTAGCAACGCAGCCCATACCCCTACTTCACAACAAATAACTTACAGGAACTACAGTAAGGCAGACTGGACTCTAGTGAAATCAATGTTAAGATCCTCAGAATGGAGAGAGTACTTCACTACTGATGACCTCTCGCGAGCTCTGAGCATCTTCTACCATAACTCGAACACATGCTAGATGCTGTCATTCCGCTCCAAACACTTGAGCTTTCCCCACATAGGAAGTCATTCATAAAACCAAAGGATCGTATGAAACTGAAGAAACTCTCAACAAGTTACTTCAAACACCACGACTTTGGCACACTAGGTTTAATACTTAACACACTTAGTTCCATCTCACAAGCTCGAAATTTCCGTATGAGAAACGAAGAACGCATCGCAGTAGCCAGTCCTGCTAGAGTGTATGCACTCACGGAAATCTTAAAGAAGCGAATGAATCGCAAAAATCACAGCATTTCCCTCCTCATAGGCAAAGGTAGGCTATGTACTAATTCCGCAGACATGTGTGAATTATTTAACTCAACTTTTGTAGGTAACTACCTTAAGCCCACAGTCCAGTTACTCAATATACACCCTGCTACTAATGTGGCACAAACTCCATCTCCACACACACCAAACTTAATTAGTACTGTTGAATTTAACTATACTAACATTAAACAAACTATAAGAACCCTAAAATGCTAAAAAGGTTTCGGTGCTGACGGCATATCATCCTATTTTTATAAATATGGTGGCCCTGACATTCCCCTATTACTACTTAAAATATTCACAATGTCCTTAGAAACCCAAACTTACCCTGATGTGTGGAAAACAACGTTTATTATGCCTAAACACAAATCTGGCTCGAAAACAGACGTCAGTAACTACAGGCCAATTAATATCACACCTATACCATCCAGAATTATGGAGAGACTAGTTAAAGACAACCTAATGGAGCATATGCTTAGTTGCAGCATTATAAGTCCGAACCAACATGGATTCCTAAAATCCAGATCTTGTTTAACATGCCACTTAGACTTCTTTAACTTTGTGACCAGCAGTCGTGACAGACGACAACTAGTACTTGTCATCTACTTTGACATCTCAAAGGCATTTGACCGTGCCGACCATTTACTACTAGTGCATAAGCTGAAATCCTTAGGAATACGTGACCCACTATTAGGATGGCTTAAATCATTCCTTAACAATAGGTCCCAAATAGTTAAACTCGGATCTATAACTTCGAAACCTAGCCCAGTCACCTCTGGTGTAGTACAAGGTAGTGTCATTGGACCCCTTCCATTTACCCTATATATTAACGACATATGCGCTTGCTTTTCTCATGGGAAACCATTCATCTTTGCAGATGACCTCAAAGTAGCTTATACATTCCAATCTGATGACCTAGGGTACTTCCGGAATGTTGTACAAAAAGAACTAGATAAAGTGACTGCTTGGTCGTCTTTATGGAACCTCCAATTTAATCTTAAAAAACGTGGCTGGATCTGCTTCGGTGCACCCTCAGTTGGCATGAAGTTAACGCTTCAATCGGCTAACCTAACCAAACTCCAAAGTGTCGTTGACCTAGGTCTGAGGTACTCGAGTAACCTAACATTCTCTGAGCAAGTGGCATCACAGACTCAAAAGTGGAGGATGCTCTTAGGATGCATACTCAGGAACTTTCACGACAATGAAGCAAAGCTCATTCTGTACAAAACCTGTGTGAGGCCACTACTAGAATATTGTCC